AGTGACTATAGGCATTTGTCAAACTACAGAACCTTACACTAGAAAGAGTGAATTTACTGTATGCAGTTATATCTTAGTAAAGTAAGATGGAGGAAAATCCCACAGCCACTCAGCCCCTACATATCTAAAACTAACATCACCATTTTCCCCAACCAGCTCTCCTCCTCCTGCACCCGTTTCCAGTAGTGACACCACCCAACAAGCTCCTCCTCCAACCAGAAATCTGTTCAGAATCCTATCTGCATAGATTCATATTCTCTTGAATCTGTGCCTTGCATTCCACCTCTCTCCACCCCGTCCTGGGGCTCAGGCCGCCTCACTTCTCACAAAGCACCTCTCTGGGCTCCCTCCCTGTCCACCCTGACCTGCCTTCAGCCCTCTGCACACACCTGCTGGCCCAGTGCCCGCCCCGCAGCAATGCGCCTGCTTGGGCCTCGGCTCTAGAGCTTCTCCCCCAGGGAAACCTCACTCTTCCTTCAGGCTCCAGCTCCCAGGCCTCCCAGTAGGAAGCTGCTTTCCCAGCCCTTTTCCATCAGAATCTTACCCACTCCACCTGGGTTCCCACAGCTGAAAGCCTTGCAGTCTGCCCTATAACCACACTATCTCCCCGGCCCACAGTGCACACAGGGCAGGGCGCTGCCTCCCAGAGCCCTCCAGGCTGAGCTGGACCGGCGAGTGAGGTGTAGGGGCTCAGGAACACTTTCTGGCCTGCACTGACAGCGAAGTGACCAGGAGCACCATGCCAAGCCCTCCTGCCCCCACTGCTGAGATAACATGTAACGGGAGCACGGCTGGCAGCACACTCCCCAGGGCGGATCACACAGGCTGCTTCCCCCCAGTGTGCTCTCCTCACTCCCGCCCTTCAGCCAGACTGCACTCACCCCATCCCACGGGCGCTCAGCTACCCCACGCCTCTGTTCAGAGCCTGCTGCCTGGACCAATGCTACTGAGCGTGGCTCTTGGACTGGTACTGTCAGCCTCGGTAACAGGAATAAGCACTTAGAAACTTTTACAGCAATTTAGTGTTGCCATGCAGGTCTTCCTGCGTCTCGCAAAAGCAG